TAAAATAAGGCTTAGTAGCTGCATAAACCACTTAATATAGCCCAAGAATAAAATGTGTTATTAGTGGGTGCGAAACACGAAATAGACTATCTTAAATCGGACTGTAACTGGGAGCTTAAACTATTAAACGAGAATAATGTTTTGTATTGCGTGATTCAGACCATCGAAACTGAGTTCGTGATTTTTAAACTGGACGTAATTGACATTTGGGAAGGGAGTTTTAATGTCACCAGTTCATTTACAAATTCTGTGCGCATGATAGCCTATATGTAGCAGTTGACGAAAGTATAAGATTTTTTATCCCACCCATAATTGACTTTTTTTTAATGCGTAGTGAACTAAAATAGTTTAAAGCCACTGTGAACTGATCTGCGTCGCTTTAAAATGATTTTGACAATAAAGAGGAAAAATTTGTGTTATGGACATGTGTTAACGACAAACACGCAAAAATGCTTCTTTAAACTTCAGATCTTTTTCTTAAACTTGCTGCGTTATACATGCACGAAGCCTCTAATTTTTAAACATATACGTGGTTAATTATTTAAAAATTTCTTTTTCAAAAATGTGATTTCTGGAATGGAGTCAAAAATAATTATCATAATTATTAATATTTAGAAAAGTATCATATCTCTTGCAAAATAGCGTTTTAAATACAGAAATAATTTCCCGTTTATTTGTTATATTTTATCCTGCAAACATCTGATTCCAGCTAATTTAATTCGCGCTTAGGGAAAAATTTAAGCAAAATTTTAGAGTCAAAGATAATAACTGTGACTTTATACAAATTACGTTATAAAAAACATATTGCTAAATAGCTTCTGAAATTTAATTTTTTATCTTACTATTTTGCAGCATTTCTTACGATTTTGTTTTAATAAATTGCGTAAAACTATTTGATTTCTAATATTCAAAACTAAAAATGTTAGATACACGCGACTCCTCAGTCTAAATATTTGACCGTATTTTGATAAATATGAGGCGCAGAGCAGCGATTTTGAAATGAAATCTATATATATACAAAGAAGAAAAATCTGTTTGTTCGCTTATAACTCAGTCTCTACTATAGTTATCGTCACCAAACTTTTGATAATTAATTTCTCGGTCCTGAAGAAGGTCGATGCCTACTTTTTTTCAAAAACAAAAACTGAAATCAGAGAGAGATATTAATTATAAACGCTAATTTTCGCCCTCATTTTTTCGAGTGCTAACAGTGCTGATTATCAGCATCAATGGCAACAGTGGAAATATCAGCAACAATAGCTGGCGTGCCATTGTTGCGTGATTATGTAGTCCATTGTGGTACGTGTGTTACATATTACTTTTTTTAATATCTTGGCTGATTAAAGTCGTTCGTAGATGTTAATGGTCAAAATGGCTTCACACTAATTTTTGGAATCGGGAATAATATATTTAACGTTCGGCAACGCTATTTTGTTACATATTTTGTAAAACTTACAAATGTTTTATTAATAAAATCTACGATTTGAAAATGAACAGTGGCAATATATTTCCAAATAAAGAAAATTTTTTTCTCCAGCGTGCGAGGCTGTTGCAACTCGAAAAAATGCGGGCGAAAGTTAGCATTTTCAGAGTTTTTAATTCTGAAAATGCTAAGTTTCGCCTATTTAACTATTAATATGTTATAAGATGTTTATACAAAACTGTGTGCCCAAATTTCCTTTTATGACTAATATAAAATTCAATCGCTACTTTTGCTGTCGATGCATACTTTAGTAAACAGTTTTGGCGAGTATATATTTCACGATTTTTCTCGATTTTGATAGATATACATTTCTCTACATATTTGAAATAAGCTTATGCATTTATTTAGCTGATTTCACCACTCAAATGGATTATGCTCAGTGCTACATTTGTGCTGTAAGAAACATAAAATATTCATGCGTTTTAACCATACCGACAAGAACCATGCAACACATATAGCATGCAAAAGCTAAACAAAGTATATCTTCACTCTGAATTCGTTTGATCTTTCAGATTTAAAAACTTTAGAGGCTTTTATTAATTTCCTTCGTTTTAAACTTCATTTCAGACTTTTTTTAATTTTCCTCTTATATAAAAGCATTTTTATTTACACATTAAAATTTTTATTTATAGGTAAAAATGTTATTCTTAAAAAAAAAAAAAAAAAAAAAAATTTTGAAGTAAAATTGAAGCAGTTTATACTGCAGTTGTGCATTTTGCAGTAAAATGTAGGAACCTATAACAAAGTTAAAAAATTGAAATAATGGAAATTTGATTAAGTATACTGATGGAAATATATACCGATTACTTTGATGATGGAATATATACTGATCGTATGATCGTATTGATGATGGAAATTATGTATTTAGTATTTTTCGATATATAAATTGATTATAATTGTAACGGTATTATTTAAAACTAACATCATATTATCATTTGGATCTGTAATTTAACATTTTTCTATATTTCTTATCTGAATTCAAATTCGTTGGGCATATTTAAGCTGAGCATTTTTGGATCTTGAAACAGAGAGACAGAGTTCTTGGCACTAGCGTAGCATGCTTAGTTTCTACCTACTCTATCAGTTGTAATTCTCTTTGAGTTCTCTCGCCGTTGATACTTTAATCTTATTCGCCGGTAATTAATTGAGCCTTTTTATTGCGCAGTATTTAACTATGTATTCTTAAACAACAGTTTATCTACTTTTAATTTAACATGAAACCTTGATCAAAGTTTAAATTTAATTGACTGTTCTTATCTACTTGAATTACTTCGAGATGTGGGAATTGTAGAACCAAGTTGACCTTATATTCAAAGTTCTATTTAAATAAAAAGGTTGTTTTATAACTTTCCTAAGACCTTGCCGTTCTGTCTCTGTCAGACATAGCGATAGCTCGTTATATGTCTGTTGGGATTATAGAAATACAGCACTAGACCAAGTATAACCTTATACATTGATAAAAAAATCTAATGACTATTGTTATATATATATTAGTAACAGATTTCCAAGTTTAAAATTTCTACCGCTTATCAATTAAAACAGAATCAGGGCACTAAAGTCAGGCTATAAAAATTATAACCATTTCATATATAAACAGGAATATTTTATTAGATAGTTTTCAGTTTCATTTAGGGACTTCACACAGAATTGCTTAACGTAACTTTTATTTAATTGCTTAAAATTAGTATTATTCTATATTAAAATTTATTTTTTTTAAATGACTAAATTTTAAATTTATTCAAATTAAAATACCTTGCTGTAAAAGTGAAATTTAGGTTAACTTTATTAAAATGCATTTTAGTAAACTATATTAAATTTTAGTAATTAGTAAATACGAATACTAAGTTTAAATAAACACTAAATTTTTGTTGATTAATGTTAACCTGTAGTTACTAATACTAAATTTTATTTAAATACTAATACTAAATTTTATAATAAACACTAAATTTTTGTTAATTAATATTAAACTGTAGTTACTAATACTAAATTTTATTTAAATACTAATACTAATTTTCGTGGACATTTCAGTAAACTAATGTGTTGACTGCCTGATAATAAATTCTTCAAACATCACTTTTAAAAATTTTTACTTTTAAAGATATTACCATAAGAAATTTTTTATGATTTTTATAGTCATATAATTTTATTGATAAATTTAATAAAATTACTAAATGATGTAGAACTTGTTACAAAAGAGAAGAACTCGAGAATTAGAGGGCCGTAAAAGTAAGAAATTCGAAAAAATATCTCAAAATTATTGCATACAGATACTGATTCCTATGGAATTAAAAACTTTTAATTCTCAGAATAAGGCAAATCCTTTACAATATATATCTGTTTAAAGCTATTAAAAGCTTCGATACAAGGGTAAAATGCCTAGCATTACGAATTAATGATTTATTTTAAAAACTGAAAATAAATTATACCGTCTAGGATAACTCAAAATATGAAATTTTTGCTAATTGCCTGAGGCTAAAATATGCATGAAATGATTAGCATTGCATAGGAATGCCAAAGAGCAAACTGGCAAAGTATGAAATATATATCCCATTCCTTCCGAATATCCATGCATTTATGACATTAATTCCATAAACTTAATACATTTTTTTAAATAATAATAGCACGCATTTTGTTTTTGTAGAACTTTCATCTTTCCTTAGATAGTTTGAAGAAAAGTTTTTTAAATGACACTCTCATTATTTTTTTCAAAATACTATTTGCATTTTGGAGGAATGCGCGTCTTTTAAGTAATATCCTGATCATGATCTTTTTTTTATACTTCGTCTAAATAGAATATGTCAATCTTCTTCCCAAGTTTTATATACAATTCCTAGGGAAAGTATATATTAATTCTCATATTTCATATTTTGCCTAAAAACCAGAGGCATTCTCTAAAATGCTTAGTATCCTTTAGAATGTCTGCGTTTTACAAATTGCCGGTAACATATATAAGTTATATATATGTGTGTGTGTTTTCTTCTGAGAGTATGAATTCTTGTTTAATTGACTGCCTATCATTATAAGCAAGTTTAAGTTATTCATCGAAAGATAACTAATGAGCGGGAAATTTATTTTATACTGTATACAAATAAAGATTTTTTTCCATTAGCATAAATGCCTCGTTTTAATATTTAATTCGAAATGCTATGAATTGATTCAAAGCTCTATACTGCTGTCGGAGATCTATCTGGAATTTCGTGCAAAAAGAGGGACGCAGATGAAGCAGGAAATATTGGGTGTCAAAAGCATCATGCAAAAAACATTGGATATCAAAAAGCATCACAAGCATCATCATCTTTTCAATAAAGAAAAAAATTTTGAATGATTCTATAAAACATTCAAAAGCTGAACTCAAACAAAGAAGAGAAATAACTACGCAAAAACACGTAATAACAGGGGTAGCATGCGGGGGGGATACATAAATAACAACAGGACTGTATACCAAAAACATATCCACGGCACAGGAGGACCACAGGGAAAAACACTGATAATTAATTTTTCGTTCTCCAGACCTTACCGTACGTCGGTACTGCAAACAACATTCTCTGTAGGTCGCCCCTGCAAATAACTTGTCTTTGGCAACGCAGGGCTACACCATACCTTGAGGTTACAAAACCAACCGAAAGACTACTTTCCAATCTCTCTTACGAAATCCAACTTTTCAAGTTCCAGCACACTTGCACAAAAACGCGAAAGGAATAAGGTAACGTAATCACAATTTAGAAGCGAAAAATTTTTAAATATCACTCGGCGATGATGTGGTCACTAATTAGTAGTCACCTCGGTGTAAATCCAAAACGATCGTTCATTGTTTAATCCAGAGCATATGGCAATAACATAAAGAGACTGGAAACGAGCGCGCGCGCTCCTTTGTGCGCGGCTTAACGGTGACTGTGACTGTGAGGCGGAGAAGCTTGAAACGCGCTGACTAGGGTTATTGCGATTTTCGCCGATAGGAGCGTTGTTATCGGAGTATTCTCGGGAGAAGTTTCTGTTCTGCTCGGCTTTGTTCAGCTGCTTAATTGAACGAGTTTACTACACGAAACTTTCGCTTCCCGCACGAAAAGTCTTGGAGCGATAATTTGAATTTTGAAGCTTTTTCTTTGAGGCTTAATTATGAAATATCACTTTCCAAACAATTCAAAATGAATCTGGATATTAATTATAATCAAATTGCGATACCCGTTTGGAAAATATTCGAATCTTAAGAAATATTTTGCTGGTCGGAGGACCAAATTCGAAGCTATTTTTAATTGCTTAATATAATATCGAAACAACAAAGCGGTAGATTTTAGAAGAGGCGATAATAAATGATTAATGGCATACAATATGTGTGTATTTTTCAGTTTTCATGCTTTCCCTGAGCATCCCAGGTTACCAGGCTGCTTTTAGACTCATTCCTGTTAATATATTTTTTTCCTGTTTTTTTAGTTTTACTAATAAGGAGCACTTCTTTCGTACTTACGCCACAAAAAATTCAAGAGCAAAATTACAAAATATTTTAAAACAGCATATCTTTAGATTTCTTGACAGACTGTTATTAATTGCCTACTTTTTAATATTTGCTACATCATTTCTTTAAAAAATAGGCGCTCAAGCAGCTAGCTTCTTAAAACAGTTAGCATAAAGAAGAAATAAGTATGTAATTATTTTAATGAGTCCAACGTAGTGTCATTTTCATAAAAATATTAAATATTTAATGTTTCTAATCCGACACGGCTCTATGACCTTTCAAATTGTTGCCACTAAATATTATCACCCTGTATTATTTTTAACGAAATTGAATAATGAAAAATCTGCATGTATGCATTTACGTTCCTTGACCTATGTGTATGTATGTTCCTAAGGCATTACAATTTTGCATAACGTAATCCTCCACAGCACATATGTTTACCTGGAATCCCAAAATTTGAATTTTGAATGTTATATTTCATATTTTTTAAAACTTTAATGAAATTCTGATTAACAAATTCAACGGTCTGAAGACGAGCAGCGGCAATACTGTACGAATAAAACATTTCTATCTCTAGGGCGGAGACTGCATATCTGAAATTTTAAAGACGTCCTGTTTGATGAATTGATTTGTTTGATTTGTTTTATTCTAATGATATGCTGTTTGATGGATTGCTATTTGATGAATTTCTAAAGATATGCTGTTTGTTTGAATATTTTGTGATTTTGATGTTGAACTAGAATTTATATAGCGTAAGTACGAAGAACGTAAAATTTAATTAAGGTATTTAATACACAAAACGTTAATAATCAAATGACAAAAAAAGGTTTTGCAAGCCATATTACAAAGAAAACTGAACACTGATTTGTTCAACTGAAGAAAGACTAAAAACAAACAGAAAAATGTATGCCGACTCTTAACACTGTGGTAAAATGTTTCTAACTTTGCTGTTATATGGCGTAACTGCGAAGAAAACGATGCTTAATAAAAAAGTTAAAAAGACAATAAAAACGAGTTAGCAGAAGTGAATGCAACAACAGACCTTTAGACTGTGAGCTGCAGAAGCTGACTTTATTCATTATTCTGCTACGTTTCAAATGTAAAATCTGTTAGGCTTAGTCCACATTCTGTCCTTATGTACAGGTGTCAGGCAAAAACATCTTTAAATTACATTAGATAGCGGTCAAAATGGATATTTTCGTTGAAATAGGATACCCGAAAATTTTCGCAATTACAAAACTTACTTCGTACAAGGAAGTAAAAAGGTTTTATATAAAATACGATTTTATTTAAAATGGATATGATAATTAATGCACTAAAAGGAAAATAAAATATATAATGGGAATAATAAATTCAACAATTCTATTAACAAAATTCATCTACAATTTTATATTGGTAAATATGCGTGGGAAGCTTAAATAACGGGATCTGCTAATTTAATTTCGTTGTGAATTGTACAAGGCATTATCATTTTAAATTTATCATGGGCGCCCCACATTCCTAATAAAAATGTGAGGCGCCCATGATAAATTTAGTATTATAGAATTCATAATATAGAATTGTAAATGAAATTCGTAGTATAGAATTGTAGATGAATTCTGTAAACATGATCTTTTAATCTGTTATTCCCATTAAATTCTAAGATAAATTATTTTTTACTTTTTAATGCATTAATTATCATATCCATTTCAAACAAAAACGCATTGTATAAAAACCTTTTTTTTAATTGTGTTTTGATTTTATTGTCACTTGATAAGAAGCCATTTTTATCTCTATTTTATTTCTCCACTTGATTGTTCGCTTTAAGTAATTTATTAATTTTTATTAAATTGGAAATTTTATAGTAGTTATTGTTATTATTTTGTTTTGAAATTCCATAATATAAATGATAATTTGCTGCCAGCGCTAAGCAATATCGCACACGGTTAGAAGCGCGCATCAACTTATGCCTTATATGAAGTAACGTAATACCTTCTAGTTAGACTCAGTGTTTACCTACGAAGATTGCATAGCAGTGGCAGAAAATACCATCTGCAATCCTTAATGCTGCAGACAGCTTATTCCCACGGATATTCGATGAATAAGAGGAAGATTTGCAGGATGACAAAGGCTCTGTATATTAAGACTTCTGGTATCAGTACGGGAAATAAGCACCAGAATTCACAGAAATATTTTTTTAACTTTCTTGTACAAAATAAACGAAGTATTGTAATCTCGAAAACTTTAGGGCGTCATATTTCAAAGGAAATATTCATTTTGACTTTTCCCAAATCCAATTGGACGATTTTTTTTGCCTGGCGTCTGTACGTGCGGACAAAACAAATGACTTTTTACTTCCTTGTACGAAGTAAAAAGGAAGTATTGTAATCGCCATAAGGTTCAGGCAGCATATTTCAACGAAAATATCCATTTTGACCGCTATCGAATGCAATTTAACTGTGTTTTTGCATGATATCAGGAAGTAAAGACAGAATAAAAGACTGTTTTCCACCAAAAAAATTATAAAACTGCTTTAAAATGAATTCTGAAGAGAATTTTTCGTGGCGTCTGTACGTACGTACGTATCTCGCATAACTCTAAAAAGAGTAGCCTCAGAACGTTGAAATTTTGTATATAGGACTGCTATAACATGCAGATGTGCACCTCGTATTTTGGTTGCAATCGGCCGCACCAAACGTATATAAATATATTTATATATATATCCACTCTGTTACCCGACTATGTGATCTCAGTTTCTTTACTCTTATATGTTCGTAAATTGTACATTTTTTGCTTTAAAAATGATTGAATTATGTTGTTTTTATCTTCAGGTTAAAGTTTTTATGCCTTTCGTAATTCTGGAAGAAATATTTGCACAATTATCAGCAATTTAAAAGCTGTTTAAGTGCGGTTAAGTTTTAAATAACATGGCGGACATATTTGTTTACATTCGAAACAGCAGAATTGTATATTTGTTGCCAATCTGGAGAGACTAAGCTTCGCAACAACAAAAATAACGCCTTAATTTATTATTGCGAATTAAATCATGCTCAATCCTTTCTGGAATTTTTTCGAGGAAATAAGTGTTTAAAATTTACTTAATTTTTAATAATTAGTAATTTAAATTTTAATAATTAGTCATTTTTAATACAGAAATTTTGAGCTTTTATATATTTTTGTCTTGTCGCGAAGTGAAAACTGAATTAATTGAATGAGAAATACTCAATCGTCTGTGAAAAACTGTTTCTTTTTTATTTTGTTTGCTTAATTTCTTTTTTACATCGTTCTAGCTTTATTATAGTATTTGAAAAGAACATGTGGCAACGATTAAATAATTCTTTAAATGATATACATTTTGTGCATTCTGAGTTATAATATGAGTGAAATATAATACTGTTAAGTGAAGCTAGTGCCAGAGTGTCGCTATTTTAAACAAATAGAGTGAATTTTAAAGAATGCCTTTATTCTATTGTGGTTTATGCTCTGTCGGCGAAGTAGATTTAATTAAATCCAATAAGTTTAAAAGAAATGCGAGAAACAAATGCGTATAGTTTAATATTCCGTACAAGGAAGTCATGTGGTGTACACATCAGACTTTTTTTTCTAAATCGGATTGTAAAATATATTTAAAATGGATTCAGAAGGGACCTTTTCGTGACGTCATTACGTACGTATCTCGCATAACTCAAAAACGATTAGCCGTAGAAAGTTAAAATTTTGTATATAGGACTGCAATAAAATCTACTTATGCGCCTCCCTTTTTATTGCAATCGGCAGTATCAAAAGTATATATATATATATATATATATATATATATATATATATCCTTACCTGGCCTTTTGTTTTCGGCGTAGTTGTGAACTTCCAATTATTGGAATGTTTTAAATGAGAAAAATGTACATATTTTGACATGTTCAAATTAAAACAAAATTCATTCTCAACACTTAATAAAATCTAATTTTTAATATGTTCCCCCGATTCCTACACTTATATTTGTAAAATTTTTATGCTCGTTATCCAAAAATAAAATTAAAGAAAATTTGACTTCCATGTGACAAAACTTGAATAAGATATTTAATTTCAAAATTTGCAGTTTTTGATGTCATTTTCAGCTTGCCTTGAGTAATCGGTTAATTAAGTTAGAATCATTCGAAGAGATAAGTTTAAATTAAGTTCAGCAGAAAATATTTAAAATTTAAGAGGCCGTAAAAGGAAGCCATTTATTATCCATCACATATTTTAATATTATATTATACGTTTGCAAAAGCTCACAGGGATTTTAATTACATTTATTTAATTAACATTAAAATATCTGCGTAGTTATTTTCCAAATCGTTCCATATTTGAATTATTTTTTATAAGGATCCTGTACGAATTATCGCAAAGAAATTCTTTCAGTTTTCTTGAATAAGGCTTGTCAGTGA